GGGGAAGGATGAAGGGCCATTGGTGGAGGTACCACAATACAGTACTCCATCCGGCAAGGGTACCTGCTCCAGTAATGACTATGGAATTCCAGCCGAAGACCGATCAGGCAGACCAGGTAGACCCTCAGGTCGACCGAGTCGATCAGGTAGACCCTCAGTCCCCGACCACGTTGACCATCAGGTCGACCAAGTCGATCAGGTAGACCCTCAGGCCGTCCAGGTCGCTTAGTTAGACAATCCGGTCGACCGGGTGAACCAGACGGAAGAAGGTGAAGGATCTCTCGTAGAGTCGCCACAAGCGGATGACCAAGCGCGCACGTTCGAAAGTGGGGAGCTCTGGGCCTAAGATATCATACTGGAGGTGGGCCTTTCGCTCTCTAGTTTCAAGTTGAAAGATATACAGATTCCTTATTTTGACGAAAACAACCCAGAAGAGGTGGACCGACTGAGACAAATTATATGGAGAAGACGGCATCTACTCATGGGAAAGGGTAACGCCTTACCACTCGCTGCTTGAGAAGCTATCTGTGACATTGATTTGGGTAATGCCAGGCCGATGCACAACGTGTACGGAAGGTGGCCCCTCAGTTCAAAGAAAATTTGGCCGATCTGATCAAGGGACTATTATTTGCAAATATCATCCAGCCCTCTACCTCGCCATGGGCCAGCCTAATCGTCATTATTGTGAAGGAAAATGGGGTGGATATCAGGCTGTGTATTGATTATCGGTTGGTGAGCGACTTGACCCAGATTATGGTCTACCCTACGCCTCTGATTAAAGAATTGGTGGAGGGTCTGAACGGAGCATTGTGGTACTGCTCCCTGGACATCGCAAGTGGTTTTTGAGTCGTTGGCATGACCGAATGGTCGAGAAAGATCTCAGCTTTTGTCACCCCGCTGGGGTTATTCGAATGGCTTCGGATGCCATTTGGACTCAATAATGCGCCTCATATATATCAGAAACTTTTGGATAACGCCTTGTGTGGGGTTTTACGTATCAGCTGGTACAGAGGAGACCAAAAACTTGTTTGCAATGGGGAAGCCTGATGTAAAGTTAGGTCCCTCGGTACTGGGTCAGCGGTCTTACATAGATGACATTCTGATACCGGCCGACTCTTGGGATATGTTGTGCGAAAAGGTAGAGCGGTTGTTAGATGTGTGTGACCATTGGAATATATCGATCAGCGCGCTCAAGAGCTCGTGGGGGTGCCGAAAGGTAGACTATCTTGGTCACCGGGTCTTGGACCAAGGACTAGAGGCCCCCCATCAAAATATAAGGGGAAATAATGCAAGAGGGTGTGATACAACGACTCCGAACAGATCGAATCAGGGGGGCACAAGAGCAAGAGAACTGGGTGCGAGATTTGAAGGCATACTTGAAGGGAGATCGGGTCGACCTGTCCATGAAGTCCGCTCACTCGTGCAGTAAGATGACCAGGGACTATGAGATAAGTGGAGAGGGCCTTCTATTGTATGGTCCGTTCAGAGGGTCGAACGAGAAGTAACGGCCAGACTAGTGATACCCGAAAGTCTCCAAGCTGACGTCCTGCATCGCTACCACACCAGTCTGGAAGGAGTCACCAAAGTGTTGGACGTACCTAACACCGAATCCGACGGTACCGCCATTGGAGAGGTTTATTCCAAAGCGGAGGCATGTGGGAACATGTGTGGATTATGAGACTGGGAAAGGAGGACCTACTCGGCAGGGCAAGACTCCAGGAAATGCCGAAGCAATATAACCTTTCCAAATTGTAGCAGTTGATCATATTCCCTCTCTGCCCAGGTCGCACAGAGGAAATACCGAGTTACTAATTTGGATCGACCTGTTAACGGGGTATGTGATGGTCAAGGCTAGTGCGTCGTGAACGGCCCAGACGATAGCTGAAGGGTACGAAGAATGCGTTTTTCGCCGTTTTGGTGCTAGCGAGGCAATCCGCCACGATCGAGAGCCAGGGTTTATGTTGGATTTCTTTCGGGAGTTTAGTCGTATGGTGGGCCAGCGTCAATAGGCAACCATGGCCTATCTACCTCAGGCGGAAGGTACTGCGGAGAGAATGGTTCAAACCCTGACTAGGTCCATCAAGATGTATGTCTCTGATGTCGGACAGCAGGATTGGGACGAGTATGCAGAACGACTAACGTTTGCAATGAACAGCGCGCAAGACCGAGTCCGGAAAGAGACGCCGTTCTATCTGGTCCATGGCTGGGATGCTAGGACCACCCTCGAGGCTACCTTACCTGTGGTAAATACGCGACGTCGGGGATCTGGGCCACGCAGATGGAGATATCACATTCAGCAACACTATCAGCGGGCGAGAGCCCAGGTGAATGAGAGCCTACGAGCGGCCAATCAGGGTAAGGATACCACTTCCGATAGCGGGTCGATGGGGGGGGTGCTACTCAAACGAACCCACAGGCCAAATATATCCTAGGGATCTATTCACGCTTGGGTCTTACCACACAACTGTCTTTGACGGGGGGGAATATATCCCTTCCCGGGATAGGTGGGTAAACTTAGCTAAGTTACTTGGGATCACGACGAAGGCGTGCTATGTAGATCGCAAAGTGAGTAGTTTTTAATATAGTCCTATCTCTTAACTCCTTTACCCCAAGGCCTGATTCTTGCTTATGCTTGGCTAGGGTGTCTGAACCTCTGGACCGAGGTTGACCTCAAGGACAGGGGCCGAGAGTCCATCGACCGAAGGGCCAAGGTTTACCGACTAAGAACCGAGGTCCATTTTTTGACGAAGGACCGAGATCCATTGATGACGGACCAAGGTCGACAGGCACTGGGGTCGAGAGCCCATCGACCAAAGATCGAGATCTGCTTTGATGAAATACCGAGGTCTACCAATGATACACCAGGATCGACCTTGAAGTACCGGAATCCACCTCGAGGAACCGCGGTGCATCGGGCTAACCGTGGTTAACTCCTTTAAATGGTGGCTAAGTAGCACGCTTTGACCGTGAATTCTTCACATCCAACGGTCGTTCCCTGTCCCATTTGCACCCCTTCTCTCTGTCCCTTACCCAACGGTCGCTTCTACTTGGAAAGTCCCTTTCTCTTTGACCCACTGGTCCTCTGGCCTCCCAGTTCTTGAAAAGCTTCACCACACCACCTATGGTGTGTTCTGACTTAGCGTCACATGTCACATGAGTCATCTATGAGTTCTCAACCACACAGCTGATAACACGCGTCCGAAACTATTGTCCTCAACACTTACAGTGTCTACAAAGCCGGACAACCAGATAGCAAACATATTGACCGACGCAGCCCAATATCCGCACCAAAATTGCCCTTGCTTCCTAGCAGAGGAGGGCTCATGAATATACAAAGCCCCACCAGAAGCATGCGTGTTGAGCCTAAGGTTTTTGACCTCCAACAAATATATGGATCATACCGTGCCTTGGATGAGGTCACACCTCGCATCCAAGTCCAAGATCAAACAGCGTTCCATGCTGTTAAAGTCTAAGAACTTTACATTCAAGTTCACCGAAACTTTGGACACCGTAACACGCGTGCCGTCGCTAAGCAAAACGTGACTGTGTCATCTTCACGTGCTCTCATCGTGATGCTGACTACCTCCATCAGTACAATGTCGAGTAGTATTGCCAAAGCCCCAATCGACCAAAATAATCTTGTCTTATTAAGCCCTTGATCGTCCCTTCGAAGCAAGCTTGGCTTGCGCTCTTGGTCCGTTTGAGAAAGTTTGGATCTTTTTGAGGCTGATCCATGTTTACTTATAATTCCTAGAGGCTTAACAAAGCTCTGTTCTTATCCTGTAGAACGCCCCGCGCCTACTAGGCTCGCCGACTTTTCGTGGCAACCCAAAGAGTTTACCCGCGCATGTCGGCTTTTCGAGGCCAACTATGCCTGTTGCACAGGGCGTTTTTTCCACAGGCCTGTTCTAGCATCTGTGGGCTCTTTGCTGCTCCGCAGCTTGACGCTTCTTCTTCCACTGACTACAGTCAATGGGCGCAGACCCATCAGATAATTAGGTATGCGTGGCATGACTAGCAGCCTTAGAGTTGGTCTCGGCATTCCATGCCACTATGACAGCTTTCTCGAATAAGAACAAGTTTACCCAGAAGAATTACGTTCTGGACGATAACTTGGAGGCCTTCCATGAATACCGTGACAGTCACTGCCTCTGGAAGACCGTCTATGACCATGGTGGCAATGAGAGTTCTCAACTCTTGCACATATACCGCAAGCTCACGCTTACACCAAGAATCGTGACCAAGCTTAGTGCGCTTGATTTTGGCGGTGCCGTGTCATCTGAGCTTTCGGATCTGACCATGTTAGAAAAGCATATTACAGTGATGCACCGCATGTAAATGCCGTTGCTTGGCTAATCCACCCAGCTGACCCGGTATGGTTCAAATGTGATGTGGAATGAATGCATAGCCGACTTAATCTGTGGTAACCACAGCAAAAGGCTGTCACTTCTTTGCCGTCGAGGTTGTCGACTAACATTTGAATTTGGATTGGTCCGCGGACAACATCCTGCACGATATTTACCCTCGCAGATGAAGGCATGTTAGCCGGAAATCTCGATATTTATTCTCATATAGAAAAGTAGTGAAATTAGCTGCAGAATTGACTAAAGAAGCTACCACGCTTAGCCACGCTGCTTTAGCTAATCTACAATGCACTACACAAAAGTAAGAAAAACCTTTACGAGCTTTATATCTTAAAGACTCTTGACCCACACAAGGCAAACTACACAAGCTTACGCGTTTTTACTAAACAATCACCAGCTCAACAAGACTAGTATCGATTGAAAGGCATGCTTTAAGTTGATGTGACGCAAGTTTCACATTGGGCATCATATTATGATCGAGAAAATGTGAGGTTTCTTAAATGACCTTTTTGGCTCAAGAAATAGCTAGATAGCCAGGAAAAGGTAAAACTAAAAGCACCTCATCTTCTTGCATCTACTTGTGTCTCCTCTCGTTACGTTTTTGTATCGGATATTGACAGGTTATGAGCCCAAAGCATGTGGTACACTGAGGCAGTGCGCATGACGGATATCATGCTAAAGCAGCCCCTGCCAGAGATCACGAAAGTTCCAGTGACTATGAATCTTTTGAAGAGAAGAGCAAGCCCGGCGTTGTCCCTGACGCGGACGATGCCCCACCAGGAGCGGCGACGCGTCCGAACTCCTGGTGTCGATGACAGGGATATCCGAGCTTCTGAAAAGACTGAGGAGTTGCATCCTAGGTTAGTTGACGCCAATGAGAGCGTGAGAGAGGCAGGGATATCCCTATGACTCCGCCTAGAATTCATGTTTGTTTGTATCGGACCTAGGAGAGGGCACAAGAATGCACATGGATAGTTTGAAAGATCCTCGGATACGCCGGTTTTTACTCCGAGAAGGCCGGTAGAAGGACAGACTACTCTGGCTCTGGACAGCCTAAGTATGGCTGACTAAGCGTCGACGCGACCCATAAGTTGCCCAAGGACTTGTTTTTTCCTGACATGTTGCTCGAAGTTGGTGGACATGAATGGATACATACATAATCAAGATCATAATGGATGCGATCAAGCTCATAGGCACCGGCTTTAAGTGATATATCCGGATGCAAAGCAAAAGAAGCGATGTATTCGGACATTTGATGAGCGCGAGCTGTACGACGGACTTGGTTCTGGTCTTTGAGGATTTGAGCAAAAAATTTCGTTGGCACAGTCGTCTTGTGAATTTGAATGGCCGGAAGATGTGAAAGTGGATGTAATTGGATTGCATCTTCTGTAGCTGCAGAGAGATATTACAACAGACAAGTCGCGATGTGGTGGCGTCAATTACCCACGTTGCAGTATATGATGGAGAAAACGCTGGAAGCATTTAAGACAAGTATTACGCCGGCGCGAGCGATTGTACTCTTTACGCAGCGGAAAAATCCAAACCGAATCTGTCCAGAACATTCTATGTATCTGACGGCCATTTTAGAAGTTTGTAAAAATAATGGAAATTATTTGGTTTTGGGTAATATTGTGCAGTACGCCGCCTCTAAGGAAATGCAGACAATTTTACTTGCTAAAGAAAACCACACAAGAACTGATTATTTGGTGCAGGGAGAGCAGTTCGCTCATTTTGCTAAAGCGTATAAGTTGCATAATGGAAGAAAAACTCTTCGAAGAAAACGAGCTTTTAAGAGCATTGTCAGGTTTGTATCGGATCGACAACGAAAGGAAATGCGGCGATGCCACTCATGTCACGAGGTCGGTCATTCGGGAGCGTGTTTATAACGCAAGAGCTCGCAAGGAAGAAGCCTAATTTTTTACTGGCTGTAAATGAAGTTTCGGATACTTTTGATGACGTTTGGATTTTGGATAGTGGATCCAGCAGACATTTGATATTTATCGTGACCCAGGATAATTGGCACAATACAGACGCAAAAATCAAGCACTTTGATCACGCTAGTCATGCATGACTTGCTGGTCGTCCCAAGATTGTCAATGGGCTCGACTAATGATTCGGACATTAATAAGATCATAGAGATAGGCAGACAACTCGATTAAATGTGGTTAAGGTTTGCAAGATGTCTACTGCAGGCCTTTTTGGTTTGTCCGTTTGACGATGTCTCGTAAGAAGAAACTTTCTTAATCGGTTAGAAAATCATGGCTTGAAAATGCTGAAAAGAACGTGTCAAGGAATGTGCCATCAGCCCGAGAGAAAGGCACTTCATATTAGTTAGAAAGGCACGGTGAAATGAATGATATGGACTGTAGAGCTTAATGTGGGCTGACCCTCAAGGACGTTTATTTTTTTGAAGGAGCTCAACACAGTGCTTCTATACGCTTTAGCAAAATGAGCGAACTGCTCTCCCTGCACCAAATAATCAGTTCTTGTGTGGTTTTCTTTAGCAAGTAAAATTGTCTGCATTTCCTTAGAGGCGGCGTACTGCACAATATTACCCAAAACCAAATAATTTCCATTATTTTTACAAACTTCTAAAATGGCCGTCAGATACATAGAATGTTCTGGACAGATTCGGTTTGGATTTTTCCGCTGCGTAAAGAGTACAATCGCTCGCGCCGGCGTAATACTTGTCTTAAATGCTTCCAGCGTTTTCTCCATCATATACTGCAACGTGGGTAATTGACGCCACCACATCGCGACTTGTCTGTTGTAATATCTCTCTGCAGCTACAGAAGATGCAATCCAATTACATCCACTTTCACATCTTCCGGCCATTCAAATTCACAAGACGACTGTGCCAACGAAATTTTTTGCTCAAATCCTCAAAGACCAGAACCAAGTCCGTCGTACAGCTCGCGCTCATCAAATGTCCGAATACATCGCTTCTTTTGCTTTGCATCCAGATATATCACTTAAAGCCGGTGCCTATGAGCTTGATCGCATCCATTATGATCTTGATTATGTATGTATCCATTCATGTCCACCAACTTCGAGCAACATGTCAGGAAAAAACAAGTCCTTGGGCAACTTATGGGTCGCGTCGACGCTTAGTCAGCCATACTTAGGCTGTCCAGAGCCAGAGTAGTCTGTCCTTCTACCGGCCTTCTCGGAGTAAAAACCGGCGTATCCGAGGATCTTTCAAACTATCCATGTGCATTCTTGTGCCCTCTCCTAGGTCCGATACAAACAAACATGAATTCTAGGCGGAGTCATAGGGATATCCCTGCCTCTCTCACGCTCTCATTGGCGTCAACTAACCTAGGATGCAACTCCTCAGTCTTTTCAGAAGCTCGGATATCCCTGTCATCGACACCAGGAGTTCGGACGCGTCGCCGCTCCTGGTGGGGCATCGTCCGCGTCAGGGACAACGCCGGGCTTGCTCTTCTCTTCAAAAGATTCATAGTCACTGGAACTTTCGTGATCTCTGGCAGGGGCTGCTTTAGCATGATATCCGTCATGCGCACTGCCTCAGTGTACCACATGCTTTGGGCTCATAACCTGTCAATATCCGATACAAAAACGTAACGAGAGGACACACAAGTAGATGCAAGAAGATGAGGTGCTTTTAGTTTTACCTTTTCCTGGCTAGCTTGCTAATCCTAGAGGCAGAAGAAATCATTCAATGAAGCTTCTACAGATGCGCAATGCTACTATAATGTCTAAAAATGACACTTGTATCTCCTTGTTGGGACATCAACTAAAAGATTGCTCTTGAACCACTCCCCTGTCGCGGCTCGAGGAACGGTATTGCCACCGCTGCCTATCCTACAGAGAAAAGCATTGCATTACAGAACGTCACCGTGACCAATTAAGCCTACCAAATCATCTTGAATTCTCAAGCCTACGCAGAGTAATCAGGCGCTAGGAGGGATACGGCGCAAAGAGAAGTGTTTGGGATCTGTCCAGCTATGACGCTTTGAGTACAACCAAAAGGACGGGTAGGCGTCGACGGACTTGTCGTTGAGTGAAGAAAAGCAAAAAAGTCGGGTTTTCAGCTGGGAAGTGCTCCTGTTGCTGATCTGTCCGCCATTTTGGCATGTCAAAATCGTTGCAGACAGCAATTTACGGCGCAGCTGGGCACCAGCCAGGTTACCTTGCTCGCCGTATCCCTTACCTAAAGATCTACAAATCCTCACGAGGAGTGCTCCGGCACAATGTCGCGCCCCTTCGGCACAACGTTCTTATCTCAGCTACGGACAAACCAAACATCTTGTACGTAACAGCAAATGACATTTTGAATGTCTTTTTAAATTGTGCTAGCCGATAAAACAGAAAACAGCTCGTTCAAACTTTTTTATTGGCCAGTTTGTACAATGGCACACAAGAAAATATGGTTGACATAATCAATCTAAGATAGGTGCTGCTTGAGAGTCTGTAGAGAATCCGCTCAGAGTCTTGGGCTATTTAATTTGGAATGTGTAGATATTATTACCATTACCTAAATTACGTCAGCCGCATATTAAAATACATAACTATATACTATATCTGGCTACAACTCGAGCGATAAGGTCAAATCGGATTGGTTGATATTCATTCAAAGAAACCTTGTATGATAATAAACGAATCCGATTGCAATTAAGAATAGGGTCTCGGAATATAGTTGGTAATACGATATAGAGATTTATCACAAGCTAATTGATAAAGGATACATTATAATTGAGCAACGCATTACCAAACCTAAGAACTCGTTTGCGCACAATAAGTTCCCCAACATAGCAAGCAGCTCGACGCTCGCGATCCTAGTATTTACACCACAACGAATCCGTAAATTATTTAATCTCAATCGCTTTTCAAACTAATTAATAAGCAACATCCTGTTTCGCAATCGATTTTCAAGGTTTTCCTGCCGTACTGTTTCATTGATGACAAAGCAGTTGCTGCTAATCAAGACACAGTGTCAGCATATAGTAAAGTCGCAAATTGAAATCAACTCCTTCTATAATCTGAGCTAAAAACCACTCTAAGCCACTTCTTAACACTCGCAAAGCACTTGACCTATGCAGGTACAACAAACACATAAGACGCAACACGCAGATAAACGATTGGCTGCCATAAAGTTGCTGTAGTATGCTTTTGTTTCATTTGTGTTGATAACTTGGGACGAGAAATTAGATAACGTTTAAGCTGGCATGTCTTGCGACTTTGGACTCATTTGTGCACCAACCCACACAAGTGTGGTCTAAAACGAGTCGTGCCATACCGCGTATGAGGAAGCAGAGGTCTGTTCAGCTGAGCGGATGTTTGCCCCAGCAGTAACAAGAGAGCGTTGTCATCTGTTTTGCTAGCCTTATACCTTGCGGCTAGGTCTCCTCCTAAAAGCGATATCATAAAAGCTCTACGTGGCAAACCTTACAAATAGAATTAGTAAAGATGCTAACAGACAATTCCACTTGGTTACAATTGTATCTTGTTTACCATGCAATCTCGACATTGAATCAAATGATTGTCCGTAAGACCAAACTTCTTATTTTGTATTAATTTTGCACCTAGTTCGCGCCAGCGATAGATGTCGCACTCGTCGTACAGCATAGCACGACGAGTGCGACATGAAGTGGCTTAGCCGTGACAAAAGAATTGAGAAATACAAAAAAGGCAGTGGGATAAAAAACACGTCCTTAGAACGCAACGACATATTTTGATGTATCTACGGAAAATGGCGATGGACTACATGACAATACTTCGATAGTTTTAAATTCGACAAAGATCTGCATAGTGGAGATGTAACAGCGCTCTCTCTGGTGCAGGTGGTATCTTTGTCATATACTGACCCTTCAATGTCTGATCAGGATTGTATTTGCATCTTTAGTTGCAAGCTGCTTAAAACTCCATGTCGTTTCTGCTAGCGACATCATTGATGATATCGATGCAAAGGTCACAGACTTGAAGTTGATATTGACATAGAGGTGCAAGTACAATGTTATATTCTTACACAAGCTTCGATACTTTTCTAGCATGTAGCTTTCTCGCAAGAAAATAGCCAGACAAACAATTATATCAACGTTTACGTGGAACTAAATCATTCAACTTTGTGTTGAGTTACGGCAGGTACGACTTTTGAGTGCTGAAAGTGACTAAAGTGTACTTTTGCTTCACTCACAGGTATAGTTGGTTGACACCAGATGTAGAGTGCAGGCAGGAGATAGCATACCGAAGCTGGAGGGTGTGTGTGCATAGAGAGCAGAAAGAGACTAGAGTCAAAAGGTCCAGTAATGCAAAGACAGACGTTGCTTGAGTCAATAACTACTTTTTGGTATGGTAAGAAATTATTTACATGTAATCCTCTTTCTTTCGTTCATGACCATGGCAACGTACCATACCATAACGCCTCGGTACTGAAGGCCGTATTTGCTTTTCGTCTTTACCAAGGCGTTTTTTTGGCCTCGCAAACCTTAAAAACACCACAGATAATCGTAATGCTCCAAACTACAGTACCTTTCATCTACCACTTACAATCCTCTTCGCATTGCGTCGGTTGTACCCCATTGCATTGTGTGATGATGAGCCTCGTAGCACGCCACCAGGGGAAATCAGTTGGTTCCATCTATGGTCAATTGCGTGTGTTCATTTCTTTTGAGATGAATCGGTTGCGTGGCATTGAAGCATCTATTCAAAGCCGCAACTAATTTTTCGATACGGACAAGACGAGATGCTTTGCAACATGACAACATGCATCTCTACACAACCAGATGGCTTTCCTGCGATGAAAGCCTTTTCGGTCGCCCAAACTCTGGCACTTCCGACTTCTTCTCCCGCCGATCAAGAGCGCTTACGCTGAACTTCATTGCAGAGTTGTCTCAATTGAGGAGAAGTCGTCAGAGGACTTTACGTACAATACTTACTCAACTCACCGTCATGCGCTGCTGGACCTTTGGGACTGCGCTAGGCGTGCTGGCTTTAGGCTCCGTGGAAGGGCTCGACAACTGTGATAGCAACGTGTTGGTGAAAGCCTACGAAGGTCTCAATGTGAAACCGCAGCTGGTGTCGTGCATGACCAAAAACAAATTTGGCGCTGCGCTGGATGGATCCGTGAACTATGGGTCCATGAATGCCGCCACGGCACCCGACCAGATCAAGACAATTTGCGCCGTCGACTCGTGCAAAACTATTCTGTCGGCGCTTGTGAGCAGTAGCAGTTTTGAGCTTACTAACTGCATTGTCGGCGACAACGTTGTGCTTAAGGTCGAGATCAGCAACCTACAGGCAATCTGCACAACTTTATCGGCTCCTAAGGAAACTCCTACGACTTCGCCCACGGAAGCACCTACGACTCCTCCCACAGAACCTCCCACGGAACCTCCTACGGAAGCACCTACGGAACCTCCGACGGAACCTCCGACGGAACCTCCTACGGAACCTCCTACGGAACCTCCTACGGAACCTCCTACGGAACCTCCTACGGAACCTCCTACGGAACCTCCTACGGAACCTCCTACGGAACCTCCTACGGAACCTCCTACGGAACCTCCGACGGAACCTCCTACGGAACCTCCTACGGAACCTCCGACGGAACCTCCGACGGAACCTCCGACGGAACCTCCGACGGAACCTCCGACGGAACCTCCGACGGAACCTCCGACGGAACCTCCGACGGAACCTCCGACGGAACCTCCGACGGAACCTCCCGACGGAACCTCCGACGGAACCTCCGACGGAACCTCCGACGGAACCTCCGACGGAACTTCCTACGGAACCTCCTACGGAACCACCGACGGAACCTCCTACGGAACCTCCTACGGAACCTCCGACGGAACCTCCGACGGAACCTCCGACGGAACCTCCGACGGAACCTCCGACGGAACCTCCGACGGAACCTCCGACGGAACCTCCGACGGAACCTCCGACGGAACCTCCGACGGAACCTCCGACGGAACCTCCCACGGAACCTCCCACGGAACCTCCCACGGAACTTTTTACGAAACCCCCCAACGGGTGCGCCTACGGAACCTCCTACGGATTGCATCACGGATGCTCCCACAAAACACCCTACCGAAGCTCCTACTGAAGCCCCCCTACGGAACCTCCTACGGAACCTCCGACGGAACCTCATACGAAACCTCCAACGGGTGCGCCTACGGAACCTCCTACGGATTGCATCACGGATGCCCCCACAAAATACCCTACTGAAGCTCCTACTGAAGCCCCTACGAAATCTTTTACTGAAGCTTCCACGAAGTCCCCCGCGGAAACTCCTACGAAAGGTCCGGCGAAAGGTTTTACCGAAGCCCCCACCGAAGTTCTTAGAAAAGGTCCCTATGAAACTCCAGTCTTTGCACCTGCCCCTCTTTCTGAAGATTTCACCACCCCTACTGACTATTCAGCCGCTTCCTCTTATGCTCCGACACCTGCATCTGATACTACGACGGTGGCTTCTACAGATGACAACACTGAGCAGCGTCATATGACATTCTCTGTGCTGAATTCGGACGTCGGCTATTTAGTTGACGTGTCATCACCTCGCAAGTATTGTGAGAACTAAACGGAAATGCAAAGAAGTTGATATTGACGATAGATCGGTTGATTGTAATAACGACGCTTTGCTTCTACTATCTACATTTTCAACACGTTTCCAGTCGTATCACACTAGATGGCGACTTACAAAAAATGCTACAAATTTGCTCTTATTCGGGTTTAAACAATGCATTTATTTGTTTTTTGTGGTTAAATCGCTACGTTTTTGCTACTTTTTATTCATAACAAAAAGGAATGGCCACCCTCGCTGGAACGAAACGTGTATTGGAGGACAATGAGACCGACGAACGAGGTAGTCAACGTATTTTTCACAATCTATGAATGTACATACGTTTTAGTTCTATATCGAGTAGATATTAATACAAACAATACTTTTAGTGACGAAATTGTCGAAGAAGGAGCGTCGACGAGAACGCAAGCAGGCAAGAACACACTCATTTAACTAGAATGACTCATTAGATGCTCGTCATTTTGAATTACTTGTATCTTGTTGTATCAGACGCCAGCACAGAAAATTGAACTGCAATTCCGTAGCCAAGTGGAAACGTGTGTCCAGGAAAATGATCCTGCTCAAGCGCTTCAAGTGTACGAGCAGATGAAGCGTGAAGGCGTCAGTGTGGCTGCGTACGTCTACAATATGATTATCAATCTATGCAGCAAAGCCAACGAGCCAATGAACTTTAAAGCGGGAGCATGTAAAGTGTACGAAGAAATGAAGCAGCAGGCCAGTGCTGCTACAAACCAGACAAAGATGAAAGCCGTGGTAGTGGGTGAACCCATTTACAGTGCCATGATCAAGCTCTGCAGCAACGTTAATGACTTTGACGCGTGCGACGCACTTATTGCTGAACTAGAGGAAGCAAAAGTGGTGCCCAAGCTACGCACGTTTAGTCCGCTGTTACAGGCGTACAGCGCTGCTGGTAATCTGGACAAATGCGTCTGGGTACATGAAAAGTTACGTTCGCATGACCTGGAGCCGATGGAAGACGGTTATGTGGCACTGCTACGTGTATGTGTGAAGACAGGCAACGCCGAGCGCTTTTATGCTTTTCTACATAGATTTATTGACGAAATCTGGCAGCCGAGTCTGTCAACGTGGGACGTACTGAAAGAGTGGTTTAACAGGCACGTTGGATCGTCCGCTTGGTCCCGTGTCCGTGTAGCAGTATGCTATGGTCAACAACTAACTTGTGAATCTTGTGTCATATCAGTGAGGCATCGCAAGTGAACGGCCGGAAATGGAAGATTAGTGAGGGTACAGTGAGCAAGGAAGGCGTATGCTCTGTGACAAACAACCAGTTGCAGTCGTTGGACCTGTCAACAGAGCTGGAAGAGGCGCTCCTGACCAAGGTTCGTAATGCAATGGTGGCAATGCCAGGGAGCAGAGTCATATGGTCCATTTGTGACCACCTTATAGATACAGTACTAGCCAGCTCCATCTGACTGCCGAGTTTATTGCTCTGTTCATTTAACAGATTGAGAAGCTCGTGCGTACGGACGAGAAGCGCAAGTCACAATGGGACGAGTTTAAACAGTGGTTGGGGAAGTTTGGGCCATTTGATGTGATTATTGACGCTGCCAATGTCGGGTATTGTAACCAGAATTTCCACGGGTAAGTAAGTCTCTTTACTTGATGCTTCGTGTATGCTTGTAGTAATAACCCGGCCTTTCCCTATGCACTGACTTTTTCGACTACTCGACACATCCTTGTTCCAATACTTGTGTCTTTGTAGCGGTGGCTTTAATTACGGACAGATTAAGCTCATGGTACAGCACTACGAGGCAAAGAACAAGAAGGTGCTAATTGTGCTGCATGAACGCCGTACGTTGGACGAGCAGGTGCCGATTGAGTACCGAACGTTGATCGCAGAGTGGCGTGCGAGCCACAAGATGTTCAATTGCCAGCCTGGTAACAATGACGACTGGTACTGGCTCTATGCGGCAGTAAAGCTTGGTGGTCGCACGCTCATGGTCTCTAACGACGAGATGCGTGACCACCATTTTCAAATGATTCACAATCGCTCATTTGGCCGCTGGAAGGAACGTCACCAGGTTCGTTATCAGGTGCATGGACGTCGTGTCATAGTGAATGAGCCACTGCCCTACTCAGAACGATCACAACGTATTGGGAACGTTTGGCATTTCCCATCACGGAAAAAACTCATCAAGGAAGCAGAATCGGTTGCACAAGTCACAGACGACAACAACGACGAGACGCACTGGCTATGCGTTGAATTGGAAGAGACGTATTAGAAACAGGTTTAGAAAAGCATTTTAGGGATAGAAACTGCTCCAGTAACTTGTACGAGTAGAACCGGGTCGACTGAACATAAGCGAGAAACTGCTGGACGTGTAACAAACTGACAGTGACCCCCTTAGGGCTTATATTAAGATATTACCGTTTTGTGTTTCCACATTGATTTGCGATACTAACCAAACAATGGACTTATGGAATTTGACAACAATGAGTATTTCTAGTGGGAGCTCATAATTTCATTCACCTTAGCTACAGCATTAAATAGCAGTAAGATTTGGTCGCTTACGTGTTTTACTACATACCTCTAACCAAGTAATCCTGTCTTCCACATTCATCTACCACAAGCAGCCCAATTTATTATAGGCTCTACATTGAAGTAGGTAATAGAACGTACAAGGCGCCACCTGGGGCAAGTGGTACATGAAAGGGAGCGGATACACGAGCCTTATACATAAAATTTATTCCACCTAAGCCGCAACCCAACAACATTGACTACGACGAGTAGGGCTGCCATTGCTTGATCCCGCTACAACTTTATCTAGCAGACGAACAAGAACTGTATCACTCGCTGGATTGAGCGGGTTGTTTACGATTCCCTTCCGTTTGCATTTATCAAGTGTTGTCTCACGCGCCTGAGTGCTGCTCTTTCTGCTGTCCTACTTAGTCAATCAATCAAGTTAGGATTCAAGAAGCGGGAGGTTGTGAGGCACTCGCATTTCAAACTTGGGTGCTACAACTAATCTACACTTGAAACTTGTGTGCCATGAATCCACAGTGAGTCTCTTTCCCGCGCAAGCTCGAGATATTGAAGCACACATTGTGACACGTGGGACATGAGTACGGATGAGGTGCAGTGCACACCTCATTATGAGTGGTAAGAAGATGAATTAATCTTTCTATTGCACTTGTCCTTCACGAGAAGAAGTATTGATCGTAGCCTTACATTTGAAATGCCGTGGTTAATACTGTTGTAGGTATTTAATTCGTCGTGAAGACGTTTGTATTCTTAACGCGCCAATGATAAGCTGGACCTTCTCTCTTCGTTGTCAGCAGTCAGAGTATGCTGTCAACGTCCAAGAGATTTTCAACATATAACATGTGGAGTGTTGTCGTGTGAATGCTGTTTTACCACGTGCCATTCGTCGCCACCAATACTGTACCTCGCGTTTGTCCTGAATACATTACATACGTAAGATGTCTCGTTGATGGCCACCACTTTACAACCTGTACCATTCATCTGGGCAAGAGCTTGACACTGAAATGGCTTTTTGTGTTGCTAACTTTTCTCCGTTTATTCACGTGCAATGCAACATTGCAATGACTTTCTCGAGCACTAAGTCTTGCCATGCATCAGTCAGTGACTGGAGATTATGGGCACAGAGATCTATTTTGCTGGCTTTCGAGGTGGCGAAACCAAATCGACTGAACAATGCCTGCGTTTGAGGCGTTTTCGCCTTTTTCTTAGCACGCAAGGGATTTCTAAGTAGCACATTTCGCATAATCATCTGAGTCGCCCTTTTTCATACCACTTGGAGTGTGATGCATTCATTTCTAATTTTGTACAATATTAAGCCCAAAACATCCTCTTCTGTTTGCATACTGCCTCTCTTAGAGGGAACAACAAACAGACAGGCTATGCTTTTTTCCTCCTCGATTTGGTATGTAGTAGGTAGAGTATAGTAGGACCAAGTATAACTATTGTAAGGGCGTAGTCTAACGCAAAAAGAGGGAGCTTTTTTTCGCTTCTCTTCCTGCATTTTCAGACTGCCCGAGCCCGGACACGAGTTTATTTGCACTCGTACACTTTGTTCTCGTATTTTGCCACAGCGCAAGGCGAGTCAAAGGCAAGAGTGGCATTAGTTGCAACCCTCTCGTTCATTAACATATCATGGGCAACACGTGCACACGTAATAGCGAGGTATAAGAAGAAGAAGAAGACTAAAAATACATAAAGAGAGAGGGGAGAAGTGGGGGTTATGCTATTCGAGTCAGTGCTAACAACACGTTTTCTTCCTTTGTTGTGACAATAGTCTCAAGTTGTTTTAACTGAACACGGCGTAATTCTTCAAAAGTGCGTCTCGTGTCCCTGTCGCTTTAAGACAAAAGTAATACTTTCCCTAACCGTTTCTATCTATCATCGTGTGTATGTGTGTGTTTCTGTTCCTTATAGTCGACGTACTGAACGAGAACAAGATCGAGCAAGAGGTCGATGGTCTGCTCCTAACGTTGAAAGTGTTGATCTTGACACGTTACTTGAAGCACCATCTCCTTCCAAGAAAGAAGGAGCACGTCGTCGTCGCAAGAAGTGCGTATTTTTATATCATGGTTTCTATTTCTATCTCTATTTCTAACGCTATTTTACAGACGACAGTCTTTATCGGAGCGTTTTCATCGTCATGCCCCTAGTATTGGTCGTCCACCTCGTCCACCGTCGTTTAACGAGCCAAATCCTCTGAATCGGTCACGAGTTCATCGTAGTCATACAGAAGCTGTTCGACGTCCTATTGAAGATGATCCAACACCTATTTACCATTCCTATGAGGATCCAGGCTATTTAGCAGGAGACCCTATTCAGTTGCAACAATTTGATGCAGACTGTATTCTTGGTAGTCCTATTAATTCCCCATCAGTGATTCACGCACGTTGGGGTGAACCAGTTGACGATCCAGACGAAGAAAATCTGTGCACTGATTTTTCACCCAATCCATTTAAATTGGGCTTTTGTATCAATTGCATGAAACAACACGATGTGCAGGAAGATGGTGTTGTTGCATCTAGTAAGGAATACAAGCGCATTGCTCGTCCTACAATTGCCAAGACAGCAGCCAATGCATTGGAACTTCCAAGTGCTATTCCTATTCCTAGGAGTTCGATTACTATGATGCCTGAGGGTGGTCGAGAGAGCGATATTGATCTTGCTCAATTATTGGCTCAGAGGAGGGATGTGCTCATGCGATTGGATAAGTTGGACAGGGAAAAGATGAAGCTTAAGAGGAATCAGAGTACAGGAGGGACCATGGGACGTCGGGCTGGTGAGTTGTTGACAGTTTTTGAGTGACACATTGTCTTTTTCTTGCTTGCTCTAACGCTCCTTTCTTTGTCACTCGCGATAGATCGCCACACGACGATTAATTTTGGAGAAAATACGCGAGGCAACTTGCGTCGGATGAATGCCCGACCGCCTGGATCGGGTCCTATCATTAGCTGCGGCACGACCGTAACCTTAGCACCTCAGCCCGCCACTGGATTTGGTGCATCTAAAAGTGTGAGCGTAGGCTCTCGTCTGTACGACGATGAAGAGCCTTCGCAGAACGGGTGGCTATAATCCACGAGACAGCCACAGTCTTTTGTTTTGGTCGACTAATTTGCCGCCCCGGGGCGCCGCGGACGAAAGCTGGAGCCCCATGTACCAGTAGCTTGGTGTTGCATGACGATGCGTGCGATTGACGAGCGCAGTCAAGAAGAAAGACACAGTGCGAACAAGTGAGCAACTAGAGCTCAGAAGCCTCCGAGAGGAAGGAGAGAGAAACAGTTATCCAGCTGACGCGGCCTTTACTGAAGGTAACGAGCGTCCAGCAAGACGCGATTAATTATGTAATATGAGCAACTGAAATATTGTCCCATCGCCGCCCACTGCGTCGTTCAGCCGTCTTGGTGAGTACGAGTGATCCTTGGACAGATGCGAGCCTGGCAAGAGCGTATTGTTGTCTCAATGACAACGAACGAGAACGACATAGTGAAGACACTCGAGCTCATGAAAATCTTGCCTGTTGTAAGGTTGTGGTGTGTTAGTCTTTGGTTCAGATATTGTCTGCTGTCATTTGTGATGCAGCGGAGAAGGAAGTACTGAGCTGGCAAGCCCCGCGGCGCCTCAAGCATCTGCGAGCCAATCAGTCGAGAGATCAACTACGCGTTGGCCGGTGCCGTCAATTTCAAGACTGGCCAATATTGGAATTCTACTTCGCAGCGTGCCGCAGTGAGTTAAGACTGTGGCTTCTTTATTGTTAAAAAATATGCGATACACATTGCAAGTTTGGCACTGCACAAGTTCGTTTGCATTGGCTTGTACTGGATCTACATTATGAGGGTAACGTAACGAGTCGATAGAGGGTTGTTTACTCACGTTTGCTGCTGTGTGTTGTATTGATTGATTGATTGGTTAGTGAACGAACGATGCATGCTTGAGTTCTGACGGCCGGCGACGCAACAAGACTTTGACGACGTGTACGTTAAGAAACACGGCATTATTGCTGTAGCCTACGAGCGCATTGGATGGAAGTCTCGTCACTGACGGTAGTGTGGGATATATTATGTGCAGACACATGCCGATGGTACACTCAATTGGTGCAAGGTACAGCTTGCCGTCATACGCGCGTCACTGTCAAGAGCAGAAAGGTACTAGAAGTGCACTAGGCGCTGTCTTTACCGTTGATTGTTGTTTTCCAGGTTCGTTTGGCATGAATATGAAGTCGCACTGACATTGTGCCAGAAAGACTGCTGTTGCTGTGCTTGATACCATCTCCGTCTCTTGCAGCACTCGAAGATTTTATTCGTTATGCGAAGCACACTTTGGACCACCAGGACCTCTCCAGAAGCCGCAACTTTGACGCTGCAAGATTTGCATCTTCTTGCTAGGACATGTCCACACGAGGCATTTCCAAGACACATGGTTGAATGAAGGCTTCTCTAATGAAGTGGATTCGCAGCTAGAACGGCTAGTGTGTGTACTTTGGATGAAAGTGCTGCTTGCGCCGGAACTTGTTCGAATGCAACCTCCTGTCGTGCACTTTGGTCTACTGGATGGCGTCGTTCTCCTCACTACTTGGACACGGCGAAGCGCAATGTGTCAAACTCAAGCATACCGTTTTTGAAGAAACCTGGAATGCTAACAGCGGCAGTCTGGGGCGTGGCTACTGAAATTTGTGTGTAGATACTATTCTTAATAGTGATGATGGCTACGACTCTTTCTCCATGCTTTGTGTGAGACGGGTAGCATTCAGTTTATTTGCTTTAACTTGTTCAACACACCCAGACAAACAATTGTTGCATCGTCTTTCCGATCCTCAACGTCTTTGCATTCCCTGGTATGAACGAGAAAGCAGCAACCTAGAATCAATCCTGCAATTGTAAAAACGTTCAGGCAAAGTGTATTGCGCTTTTACATCTCAAGCTAAGTCGGGTCTTCACAACGTGCTTACTCATCGATCGACACACCCTCATAACGAGAGGTACGCAACTGGCCTACAGAAGACGCTTGAACTCGGCAATAGCGCGATGTATGCCAGCTTCCTCCGTCTCCAGAGCTACCTTTTTCGCAGCATCAGCCTCACGCACGCTCTCCGGCACCTTCGTTTCGTAGTCCTCACGGCTCATTTTCTTTGCCAGACCAGCAAGCGACGGCACAATCTTTGTCAACTTCTTCTCCAGTTTGCTGATCTCGTTAGCGAAGTTCACCAAACCAGTCAGCAGTACGAATATTTGAACCTTGGCGTTGACACTGTGCATAGCGCAACCCTCCGGCGCTTCCTCGTCCACGTTGCATTTGGAGTCACCTGCCTTAGCCAGCGTAGCAAAGTCGTCCAGCTGCGCCTCCATCACCGCCTTCACGTCGTTGTTAATGCATTTGATGAAGAACTGCGGACGTACGCTTGTTGCCAGGTCGTATTCAGCACGAACGGAGCGGGCAGCGTGGATAACCTCTTTGACGAGCTCCATATTTGCCTCAACCTTCTGGTCCGTCCAACCCTCCATTGGAAGCGGGTATGGCGCGATCGTAATGCTTGCGGTCAAGCGCTTGCCTGGTAGACGCTGCCATAACTCCTCCGTAACGAACGGCATGCTCGGGTGCAGCAGACGCAGACCGAACTCCAGACACACGTACAGTGTCTGCTGCGCCGTCAGCTTAGCCTCGGCATTGTCGCCAACGAAAACTGGCTTCGTCAGCTCAAGGTACACGTCGCAAAGGTCGTACAGCCAGAAGTTGTACAAGGCGTTTGTAAGTTCGCCAAACTCGTACGCAGCAAACGAATCATTGCACAATTTAATGGCGTGGTTCAAGCGGCTCAAAATGTAGCGGTCGCGAGACCCCACAACAGCATTGGACAGCACCGTGTCAGCAACGTTCTCTTCAGCCGAAAATCCGCCCTCAAGGTTGGACATGGCAAAACGAACGGCGTTCCACAGCTTGTTACAGAAGTTACGGTAGCCAACCAGACGGCCGATGTCTAGATTAATGTCGCGGCCCTGTTGCGTGTATGCCAACAGACCAAAACGAAGCGCGTCGGCACCGCACTCCGGTATACCTTGCGGAAAGTCCAGTTTTTGGCCCTTCTTGGCTTTCTCCACCTCTTTCGCTGGCAGATTGCCATTCTCCAGTTTCTTGAACAAGTCGTCTAGGGTGCAACCGGCGATGATTTCTAACGGATCTACGACATTGCCCAGACTCTTTGACATCTTGCGACCGTACTTGTCGCGCACCATCGAGTGCAGATAGATTGTCTTGAACGGCAGCTTTCCCGTGAGCTTCTGGCCCATAAACACCATACGTGCCACCCAGAAAAACAGGATATCATAACCTGTTTCCAGCAGGTCCGTCGGATAGAAATTGTCAAAGTCATCCGTGTTGTTAGGCCAGCCAAACACCGCGAATGGAAACAAACCAGCACTGACCCATGTATCAAGGACATCCTCGTCCTGCTCCAGCTCGATCTCGTCCTCAGCAACACCGAGCTTGGCCGCCGCCTTCTTTCGCGCATCCTCCTCGGAGATTCCAGCAAACCAGCGTTTGTTAGCATCATCAAAATTCTTGTCAACAAAGGATTCACCCTTGATGCGAGCGAAGTAGGCCGGGATGCGGTGGCCCCACCACAGCTGTCGCGAGATGCACCAGTCACGGATGTTCTCAAGCCAGCGAAACCACGTCTTTTTATGCGTTTCAGGCAGAATTGTCAGCTCCTTGTTTGTAACAACAGCCATGGCATCCTTAGCCATCTGGTTGCAATTGATAAACCACTGCGGCTTGACGAGCGGCTCAATCACGTCTCCTGAACGCGAGCAAATGCCCAGACGCATCTTGTTGTCCACCTTGCCGTGGTAAAGTCCCTTCGCTTCAAGGGCCTTTTCCACAGCAATACGCGCGTCATAGCGCATGATACCTGTAAAGTCACCGCCGTGTTCGTTAATCGCGCCATCGTCCGTAAGTACGTTGATAAACTCGAGGTTGTGACGCTTGCCGCATTCGTAATCGTTGGGGTCATGGGCAGGTGTGATTTTAACGGCACCTGTACCAAATGCCATGTCAACCAAGATAGGGTCCAGCACAATGGGAATGCGTCGGCCGTTGAACGGGTGAATCACGTATTTTCCATGTAGATGCTTGTAGCGTGGGTCGTCAGGATGCACCGCCACGCCCGAGTCACCGAGCATCGTCTCAAGTCGCGTTGTGGCAACAATAATTTGCTCATCAACCGCCCCCTCCACTGGGTAGCCAAAGGACGTAAGTACGCCAAACTCATACTTGTAGTCTGGGTTATGTCCAGGCACCGTCAGTTTTGTGCGTTTATCAATGTCAATATAGTCCACTTCAATTTCAGACAACGCTGTTTTGAGCTTGCAGCTCCAATTAATCATTCTCGTAGCACGATACACAAGTCCTTCCTCCCATAGCTGACAAAAAGCATGACGTACTGCACGAGTACAATTTTCATCCATGGAAAAGTACTTGCGGTCCCAATCCACAGAACAACCGACACTACGAAATTGGTGATGAATACGACTTTCATACTGATTTTTCCATTCCCACACACGTTCAAGAAATTGATCTCGTCCTAGATCATGACGACTTTTACCTTCTTCTTTGAGTAAACGTTTTTCAACTACCGATTGTGTTGCAATCCCAGCATGATCTGTACCAGGTACCCATAATGTGGCATGACCTAACATACGATGCCAACGTGTGAGTGCATCTTGAATCGCTACAGTAAGTGCATGACCTAAATGCAGTGAACCCGTGACATTTGGAGGTGGAATCACCATGACAAAACGTTCCGTAGGTTTAGCAGTTTGAATTTTTTCATCTGAACATGAAAAAAAGCCTGAAGCTTCCCACCAATCCTGCCATGAAGCTTCTACAGCTACAGGGCTATAAGCAGTTAGCATAGGAGTAGTATGCATATCTTTCTTTTCTCCTTTAGGTGTTGGATTCACAAAAGTAGATGATAAACAAGCACTTGTCACGATTGTCGCTCATTCTCTTGTTGCTTCTTTATCTTCTTCTTTGAGTCACTTTTAGGTGCCCAACGATTTGGATCTTTCTCTTTCTTTGGCTTGATTCCACCAGTTTTTTCAGCACGTAAAGCCTTTTTCATGGCATTTTTACTGAGTTTTGGAGACGTTTGACAACTCTCGGGCGGTTGTGTCGAGTCCGCCATGAATTCAAGAATGAGCACTGGCTGACAAGGGTGTTTTGAGTGCACTGTAAAACCTTATACGCTTGATTATTTTATAGAAATAGACGAGATGCAGAGCATGATTTTACTGTAAGATCGAATAAACTTGCTTAATTCATATTATGGTGCTATCGAGGTTTTTGTCAGCCTAGAGGTAGTTAATTGTTGATCCTGACTGCTACAGTGCTGCTGCTACTTACTATATGACTCTCATCAATGCTGTAGTTCTACATGTTACTTTTATACTTGGATGCACGTTCCATCATATACTGTCTAGCAAGAGCTCTCTGCATTGTCCAAAAGACTTGGCAATTTACTTATTGTTAGCTACTATAATCATTGGAATGTCAAGTAGATCGATTATTACTTTCCGACAGTTTGTTGAAATGAAAACATGTTCGTGCATTTTCTTGTGATAATTTACGAGTTGTGATAGCCATTCAAAACACCGACGGGATGTTTCTTGTATTTGCTATACGCGCCAAATGACATTCGTCCTTCTGTATACTAAGTACGATGTACATGAATGCGGAGAGATCACTTGATCACACTTGATACTTCCATCGACACGATCGTACCGCTTTTACATTCCATGAGACCGTTTCTTTACATTAATAACTTGGCCATTTACACTCGACTTGTCTGTAGCTTTCACCTTTCATTTCGACATTTCGCAAATACATTAGACTGTCTTATTCGTCCAATTACAAACAGTAGCAGTTTTATCCTTAGTATGGTGCTTCCTCTATTCCTTATCGGTACTAATGGCATAGGTACAGCCACTGGCTATGGCATGTATCAAACAGGTACAATGTTAGCACTTGCATCTTTGAATAGAAAAGCCCCTGTAAAAAGAGCTATCAGTCTTGCAACCAGTGGAATCTCAGCCATGGCCGCATACTCAGTTAACGTATGAAGTGCCCAAAAATGTGACAGTGTGGGCTTTCGTGACTTTTTGCGTATTGCGGGACCGCTTGTGACTCCACATGTAGCCATGTTCTCGACGTCGTTGGCGCTAATGGGCTTCGTATCGACCAAGCTGGATTTGCTTCGTGATCATCATAACAAGATTGACACAAGTAAATCGATAAGATTGAAACGAGCGATTGTTCTTTGCTAATGAAACTAGAGGACGAACGCAACGGCTCATATGTCGTTAAGTTGTTTGCTAGTTTTAGAATACGATGAGTCGAGGTAAGTAGAGAGTGAGAAAGCTTTTCTCGATAACGGAATTGTTGAGAGGCAGATAAGCATGCAAGTAATGAATGAAAACTTCTTAATTTCATTGTAAGAGTGAATGAATTCATTTTACACGCCCGTGTCGGTGTAGAAGGATTGACACCGGGCAAGACTCACAGATGTATTGTTGTGAAATGGTGCAATAAGTCATCTAGAACTTGCTGTCAGTGAGTGTACTACGTGGTACGCAATGCGTGTGATGCCAACTCGACTTACGAACGGTTCTCGCCATTTGTCTAACATGTCGTCTACTTAGTTGGTCCTAATAAGCCCCAGAAAAGTGTATTATAAAAACACGGTTGTGACTCTACTCCTATTTTGCGCTTCATTTTTTATGACAAAGAGCTCGAAGCGCAGTGCGCATGCAACAAAAGAATACGCGCAGATACTTAACATCCCATAGTAGGACATCCACTACACAATCAGGCCGTCTTTTGACGCTTCAACAACGATGCAGTGGAGCCAGTCAGTGCGCAGCTCAAAAGTTTACAAGAGCTTACTCGACGGCAATGTCAACGCTGGGACGCATCGAAGAGCACACCTCGAGCACCTCGTGGATCTTGTGGTTCTTAAATTCACTCATGATCTTGGCCTCGTTCTTGATTTTGTTGTCGTCTACGGCAACGTAGGCCTGCTCTGTCAAGATGTAGTCAAAGCGAGGTGCCCACTTGCGAGAGCCGAGACGAGCCGTCGTAGAGCAGTTGTCCACCATGTACGCAACGCCACGGGCGTGCATGTAAGGGTTAAGAGAGTCCACTGACTCAATCACCGACTCGTTGGCTACCTCAGAGTAGCAGTGGCCGTGACTGATAAGCACGTCAATCTGAGCCATCATCATGGCCACGTATGAGCCAGCTGTGAACGGGTTCATGACAAAGCTGCCGTCGCGAGCGGCGCGCACCTTCTCACCAATCTTCCACGTGTACGTCTGGTCGATCTTACCAAACGGGAAGCGATCGTGGCGAGCCACCGCGTTGTTGACGCTACGGATTTCGTTCCCGCAGGCCACGTCGTCATACACTTCTTCGATGATGTCACGGCACGGTGTATAAGCAGCCGTATAGGCCTTCTCGAAGATGATCTTGTCCTCGCCTTTGAAGCTCTCGTAGACTGACTTGATACCATCGTGCGAAATCTTCTCGTTCAGCGGACCGGTGATGCACTCGGCCGTGTTCTTAAAGGCGTCCTCGGGGCTCATGCCATTCTGCACGTATCGGCGGAAAAGCGACTCAACGAGACCGTGCACACCGCCGAGCAAGATACAACGTTCACCGAAAATATCTGACTTATACTCGTCAGCCATGGTCGTGTAGAAGGTGTAGGGGGCACCGACGCCAACACTCCAGCCAAGAGCGATCTCAGATGCCTTACCCGTCACGTCCTGGTGGATAGCCACACTAGCATTAATGCCGGCTCCATTCACTGTCTTGCCCTGTACGTAGAGACGACGGACGCTAGGACCCATGCCCTTTGGAGCCATCATGACCACGTTAATGTCCTTTGGGAAGGACTCATTCACTGACTCAAGATGACCCAGCAAGAAACCATGCGATAAACCAAGCGTAGCACCTGATTTGATGAGTGGGAAGATCTTGGGGTATAAATTGACACAGGCCGAGTCGCTAATGAGTAGCACCACCAAGTCCGACTCTTTGATGACGTCAAACATCTCCCCCGAGATTGCCCTTGTCTTCACTAAAGCCAGCAGCATTGGCTTTAGAAATCGAAGACGAACCTTCACGTAGACCGACTTTGACCTTGATGTCCGTACCCTCGAGCGACTCACGCAGATTCTGCGCCTGTGCAGGGCCCTGCGAGCCCCAGCCAATGACACCAACCTGCTTAATACCATCAAAGGCCTTAGGCAGTAAGGAAAACTTGTCACGTCCACCAGGTAATACTGTTTCCTTCGTTTCAGCCATCTGCACAGTACGCAGGTGGTCCTTAAACACGACAGACCGTAACTCGGACGCGTTTGTAGCGAATGATCGTGTCTTGAACACTGGTGACGACGTGCGCATGACAGACTTTAGAAAGAGACGCATGGTAGTGAGGAATCAATTAAAACTTATGAGCGACAAAGAGGGAGGGAGACAGGAGGGGTTGCGACTTATTTAGAGGAAATCGAAGAATGAGGAGCTCGCTGAACGTGCCGTGGTGGCCATTGGCGTGAGTTTGCGCATTCGGTGGTCTGATTCTAAAATTTAATAGTTCTTCCAACAACAACAATGACAGATCCTGTGATATTTAATATCACGAGAATAATGGGAAAAATCTTGTGACATCTGCAATCGGTGAACGCTATGTATCTTATTTGTTCATGCTAACATGTTTTTTGTAATCGTTCGTCTAGTTTTAGTCCTGCGCGTTTTGGTACCTCTTTCTTCGATAAAGCAGGAGCTACTGACCAGTCGTTTTTCGTCCACGTCGGTCACTACAACGTCACGATTCTTTTATTTTTGTATAGCCTGTATCAAATGTTAAAGTTGTATCGCTTGGTGGTTAAAGAATGCCTCTAAATGAGCTCATAACAGGAAAGTCTTTCAGCTGCTCACGAAAATTGTTGCGTTTCAATGACAATTTGAGGTGATTATTAGGATTTAGCGTCGGCTGTTGTTGGAACCGCAACATTCGTGACCCAGTGGTGCAGGCGACCGTTTAGTGCATCAAGTCACACGCAGCTTCATATCTAGCGTTGCAGCAATTGGATACGACCAGTATAAACCCTGAGGTGATTGAAACCATCAGGGACGACGCTTATGGAATATTGCAAGGTCTCCAAGTCTCCAGCACTCCGTAATGTATGATAACAATAGGAAGAAGTCGATTGTCGATACTGGAAGACATTTCCACAAAACTCCAATTCCAGAAGAAGCGTCTGACCTCCAAGAGTGATAAGTGAAGAATCCTACGCCATGTTCGCTACATTGACAAGGCGTACGACCGAGAAAGCTTGAACTCGTATGTGCTATGTGTCAATTGCATGGGCTGTAGTAAAGTCATTTGACTAGGTGTAGCTAACCTATACCCGTTCACGGGCTCACTGCTGATTATAAAAGTCATATGTAGCAATCCATTTGTCCGCACCCGCGATGTCAAACAACGGTGACTACTCTTGTCATTGCTCTGTCTATGACGGTCATGAACCATTGCTTGCTTCGTCTACACGGCGAGCATGATATCTGCCTGACCAGGAGACTACATAGTTTACAATACATCCTTCGCAGATGACTCGACACAACTCGGCTCAAGCACACACATGAATTTATTGTTGCGAAGCTTGGATGTTTGAAGGTCAAACACGAAGTAAATAGATCAAATAGCAAGTTATGTAAACTTGTTCTATTGAGCTTACCATTTGTTGATCATCTAAGTTCATGAAACCCATGAGTTGAGAAATAAGCCGTCGTAATGTCCTAATGTCGTTTGTAACAGGGTAAGCCCGCTACATAACATTGACACAAACTATCATTAGATCTCAATGGAAATGTTAACTTAGTTAAATAATATTCGACAATTTTATACTAAAAGATACTATTATAAAAATCTAACCTAAGAAGGTCGTCAAAGTTGGCTACACTCCGTCTAATGCTGATAAAGGCATGACATCAGCCACGCGCTGGTTAAGAAGGATAGACGCGCGCAATGGTTGGCAAGCAGTTGAGCTGACACATATTAGTGGTTACTTATAGCTGAAGTAAGGTTCAAGAGACTTTAAAACGAGGTTACACAATGGTGTGCATTGTACATACACCACTGTGGTGTGGCTCTACCTAGTTGTAAGCCTGCTCTGAATAGCACACCTGCTAAAGCGGTCATTTTCAATCAATAATGAACAATTTTCACTTGAAAGAAAGGATTTATCTATGATACAGGTCTCTTGGAGACGTGGTTGTTTCCAACCAAAAGGCATAAGCTTGTGAAGCTAGCCTTGGAAGGGTTAAGAACACTACGACGTATAAGCTCTTTAAACTTGTCTTTCTCTGCACTTGGTGCGGAAGCAGCTTGACTGCAGTAGCTCGGCTACACCTGGTAGCACTTGTATACAATTCCGCACCTGGGTTCGGACTCCGAGATCGAGTCGGTTACGGGAGAGAAGCCCCCCCCCCCCCACCCCATTCACAAGGCGGGCTCCGCCCCCCGGGGAGTCGCCTAAACTTCCGAACGGGGACTTCATCCCTGGGTACATGCAGGTGAAGTCATTCACTGAAGTGGAGTCGGAGACCCTCATGGCTTCCAGCAGGTCGGCGGGATCCGACCCTTCCTCGCACCCTGAGAAACAGTATACTACACAGCGTGGTCGAGGAAGTTGCCGGAACTGAGCAGGATGTTGATGTCGCACCGACCGTCGCTCGTCCTCTAGAAGAGTAGGTCGACGATCCCTCGCCACGCCCAAATCGCACGACCCCGACGTTTCTTCCGTGCGTTGTAGTACGACAAGAGGAAGGAGCTGGAGAGCGCTTGATCTTTGGAGATCCATAAGCAGTGGGTAGCCTTCCAGATCGCTTGGATGTGGTCTTCGTCAAAGCGCAGGTAGGTTGCCTCCAATTTTGCGAACCAGCCCGCTGGTTGGAAGGATACGGGGGGGGGGACTCGAGCGAACACCCATGGTCGGGGGACCAAGAGGTTCTGGAGTATCGAGGAGCTGACCAACGACGACTTCCACTTGGAAGGTCGATCAACCTTTCCGTCTGGTGGACCAAACCAGCCCCAAAGCAACTCCAGGCGGTCGACTAAGTCGCTAGGGGTCATCGTCACGACACCCAACGAGCTGACCATGTCGACCGACCAAGGCTCCACCTCTGCTGACCCTCAGTCGTATGACTCATGGAAGTACGAATAACCCCTACGGCAAGACTACTTAAACGTCGCTGAAGCTTATGATCGGAAAGTTCAAAAGCAGCGACAGCAGTCGCCGGATGCTTCCTTGCACTAAGCGTTGCAGAAGCAAGGTCAGTAGTTAGGCTTCACCTCTAATCTTCTTGGGAAGCAGTTGCCAGTATCTCACTCGCGTGAAAAGTACTATTATCTGCTTCAGAAGCAAAAAGTTTTGGCGTATATGGCTTTGTCTATATAATACGCAAGGCGTAAAGACTTTGGGAGCTCGAAGAGCAAGTGGTAAATGATATTGTGCTTTGTAAGCAAAAGTAACACTGTGGGGCTTCATGCAAGCAAGTGTGAAACAATATGAAGGTGTACAACACTTTGGGATTATATAAGCAAGCGTGTTAAGCACTTAAAGGCTTTGTCGAAGCAAGTGTTTAACACTAAGGTGCGTCATAAGCACGTGTTAAACATTTAGGTGCTTTATAAGCGAGTGCTGAACACACAGGTGCTTTAAATGCAAGTGTTAAGCAAAAATGTGCTTTATAAGAAAGTGTTGAACACTTAGGTGCTAGATAAGCTAGTGTTATACACTATGGCGCTTTATAAGCTACTGTCAGATACGATTATGCTTATACGCTAAAGTTAAGCAAAAATGTGCTTTATAAGAAAGTGTTGAACACTTAGGTGCTTTATAAGCTAGTGTTAGACACTGATATGCATTGTAGCTAGTGTTCGACACTAATGTGCATTATGAGCTAGTGTTCGACACTATTATGCAATATTTAGCTAGTGTCTGACACTAATGTGCATTATAAGTTAGTGTTCGACACCAATATGCATTATAAGCTAGTGTTCAATACTAATGTGCATTATAAGCTAGTGTTAACATTACGGTGCTTTGTGAGCAAGAGCTACACACTCATATGCTCAATCGCTTATAAGCAAGTGTTTAGAACACTGGAATGCTTTAAAGCAAGTGCTAGGCTTTTTAAATGCTGTAAAAGTAAGTGTTTGCAAACACTAATGGGTATTGTTACCAAGTGCTAGGCACCTAGCGCTTATAAGCAAGTGTCGTAACACTAGGATGCTTAGAAATCGTGTGTGCAAAGCACAGATGCTCAAGGAGCAAGTGTCAGAACACTAAAGCTTTTTTCGCAAGTGCGAGGCACTTATTGCGAGGCAAGCAAAATGGGAAGAAATTAAAATTGATGACTCCCAATGAGTTCAAAAAATCGTGTGTACGTCGGGTCCCACGGATATGTAGGGAAGGGTGTAACAGGGTTACACGAAGGTGTGTATGTACATACACACCTGCCTCACCAATGTGGTTTGGCTGTACCTTGGGTACAAGAGTAGGCTCAATGTGACCGTACCTAAAGTAAGAAGGGTCGCATCGTGGCAGAGAGCCACGTGGTCACTATACTTAGTTAAGTATAGTGACGATACATGTTTGCATAATAATAGGCTATAGAGACAGTAAATAGTGACTAGAACTAAGTATAGAGTAGGTGCTTCCATAGTGTTAGAAGATAAACATAAATATAAATCAGTTTCAAACCGGCTCTATAAGCATCACTGCTTAAGCGTACTATTCCTCCTGAGGAATTGTATCTTTAATACTAGTCTCTTGGAGACCCGGTTGTAACAACTGATAGTCACAAGCTTACGAGCTAGCCTTGGAAGAGTTAAGCACCCTAAGACGTATAAGATGTTTGAGGTTGTCTTCCTCTGCACATAGTGCACAAGTAGCTACAGTAGCTTGGCTACAAAAACGGTCTAGCACGTGTGCGAGTTAGAGCCGGTTTAAAACTGATTTATCTATGTTTATCTTCTAGCCTTAAATATGTAAACACCTACGCTATACTTAGTGCTAGTCACTTTTACTGGCTCTGTAGCCTATTATTATGCAAACATGTATCGTCACTACACTTAACTAAGTATAATGACCACGTGGCTCTCTGCCACGATGCGACCCTTCTTACTTTAGGTACGGTCACATTGAGCCTACTCTTGTACCCAAGGTACAGCCACACCACATTAGTGTGGCAGGTGTGTATGTAAAATACACACCTTCGTGTAACCCTGTTACACCCTCCCCTACATATCCGTGGGACCCGACGTACACACGATTTTCGAACTTAATGAGAGTCATCAATTTTAATTTCTTCCCATTTTGTTTGCTTCGCAATAAAGT